GAAGTGGGTTCCTCAAGTAAACCACACCCGCGAGCGCCACTGGCTCAGACGCGTAGAACCAGAGATTGACGTCCATTCCAGCACTGCAACTTGAGAGGCAACTTTCGGAGTTGGTAAAGCTGCAAGCGATTCGTTCACTGACAGCTCCTACCAACGAACTGCACTGCTATTGTTGAACGATAATATGGGGAAACTGATGGCTCCACCTATGCTTGGAAAACGCTGCAAAGTTCACTTCATCCAAGCAACGACCGTCAAGGAATTTTGAAGATGGTCCAGCAAAAGTCTCCAAGCCCCTTATGGGATGTTCTGTCTCGCCAGTTGTGTTCAGCAGATCTGGCCCCAACAGAATACCGTCTGCTTCTGTTGCTGCTGATTCAACTAAAAAAGGGAGAGCTTCATAATCCGGACTTCTCGAAAATGGACTTCTTCCAGTTTTTGCCTCGAAGAGTTAACGGCATTCACGAGTCACCTGCTGAAAGGCAATATGTTGACGATTATGATGGGGCATATGATTGTAAATTGCTGACTGGCTAAAGAAGAAAAGTGGTTTTGAAAAAAAATCACAAATGGGCAAAGACTTTCAGGACAATCTAATAGATAGGCACACAGTTCATATATAAAAAAGGAAGCGAATGTGATGGCTGAAAGACGGAGCGCAAAACGTAAAGCCGTCGATGGAAAGGGCGTTGAAACGTGTCGACCATACGCATTAGCGTGAGCGATGTCGTCGGACTAACACTTTCTCACCAACACGTTTCCCTTCTGTGCTACGCTACTGGTCATTGCACTCAGCTCCTCCTAATTCTGTTAGACTTCGAAGAAGCTCTGCACTAAGTCGCATTATTGACGAAGCTTTGATGTTCGAAAATTAGCGCTTATGTTCTCGGCATATGGGATGATGCCCTCAAGAAGCTGGCCATGCTTCGGTATAATCCACCACGTGGAAGTTCAGCTAATAAATCATGCTATTTGAGAACGGCCCGTGGTGACTTACTGTTGATCCCTACTACGAACACTGTTTCAGAAAACTAGATGAGCGGTGAGTGCAAACCACTCATTAAAGTGACGACAGCCTCCAAGTAAATCTGGTTAACTAGTTCATAGTGATAGCTGATAGTTGGTAAATGATAGTTGTAATTAGTGACAACTGATAGAATACAACTGCAACAGGCTAATCATTTCATTGGCAGAAAACTTACATTTTGTGAAGGCCGTCGTCACTTGTGGTGTGTGGTCTGCACTCGACGTGCTTCTGATTTTTTGAAACAGAGGGTGCACTTTACAATCAGATGATGCAATCATTTGAGTGGAGCGTTATGAATGATACAAGAAAAACAAATTTTGAATTTTCAGAAAACATTTCTCACGTGAAAGATTAAATTTTCAGGTTTCGATCCCCAACTCACCCCATTCGCTTGGATAGGTTTGATGCAAGCCCACTACCCTGGCTCCCGAGCGTGGAGCTGGACCGATGGAAGCCCCGTTGACTACACTCGTTGGGATCACAAGCAACCAGATAACTGGTACGGACGTGAACATTGCACACAGGTATGTTTTTCCAACATCTTTTTTATACTCATTTAGTTGGGTTTGCTGGATTAACAGCTGAACAGCTAGGAAATAGCAAACGAAAAGCAAGAAATTCATCAGGCAATCATAAAAGCATGGGTGTAATAATGACGACCGTTCGTTCGCTAGTACAGAGGTTCCTATTTTTTGTTGTTTTGAAAATCTCTTTTCCTTTTTCTAAATTGGCAAGGCACTACGCATCCCTACTTGTATAATAGAGTGATATTAGTAAGTAAATACAATCCTGGACCTTCCCTTCAGTGATAGCGTAATGAAGTGTATGGGAAGCATTGTTGTTGAGTGGGAAATTTTGTGATAGTTGGTCATGTTTGAATAACTTGACTCGACCTTTCAGACTTTAAGTCTCTATGATAGATCGATATACAGGAGTGACTGCGCAAACTAGTAGACGCTCATCTTTTTGAGTGTAAAAGTCAAGAAGGAAAACTTCATTAGCAAACCAACTTCTTGGAAAAATACAGCTGAGCTATGTTATGACTCGGGACAACTAAGTTTGACGATTCTGCTTGGACGGAGGCATTCTGACGTCCAACGACGGAATAGCAGTGCGCCGCAGGTAGCCAACGGCGATGTCGTCCCATGTCTTCTGAAGCGCTAATCTTCAGAGCATCCACCGAGCTGTAGAAGTCTTCTGATATCTTGCTCTCTAACATCCCCACATAGAGAAGTCTGTCGGGTTAAAGGCCTTGGGAGAGTAAGTTCACAAACAGGGTCAGCCGCCCGTTGCGCAAAGAACAACGAGGGGTCGTATTCGGCCGAACGAAGGGAAGGGGGTCGTATACACAGGACCCGCGGTGCATTGAGAAAATAGGATTCCATGTAACAGTAGAACGCAACTTTTATACAATCGCGATACTATCACCGTCTTCAGGAAAGTGGAGGTCTTACAAATCGCTAGTGCGGATCGCAGACAGATGCACGCGCATCTGTCTGCGGTCCGCACTAGCGATTTGGCGATCTGGCGATACCCCGCGCAGGAGTTTCATTTCAAAACGCTTCATCTGTCAGTGGCCGTGAGCAGAACCCGAGTGGAAGAAAGTTAGAACTTGCTGAAGTCTATTGACCATCTCAGAAATTCTGGCAGAAGAAAGCTTTCAGGAAAATTTCTGCATACGTTGTAAAGCACTCTTCATGTAGACTTCAATACTTTTTACCGCTTCTCATTATATGAATTTTGAAGGAAATTATGGATGTTTGAATATTGCAAAGTCGCGTTTCTGGCTTGAAAAAATCAAGGGAAAAAACCGAAAAGGAGACTTTGCTGCAATTGGGTTTTGTACTGTATGCCAAACGAGGACCTCGTTTGGCATACTGTACAAAACACAATTGCAGCAAATTGAACATCGAGGTTCCAAGAAAGGACGACATGGAGACTACTGGAAAAGGAGACTATTTTTTGCAAGAATGACTTTTTGAATAAGTTTCAGCAAGGTTTCGAAAGCTCTAATCTTCTAGTTTCTAATTAGCCTTAGACATCTGCAAAAAGTTGATTATGAAGAAAGTTATGAACGTTTGAATGTTAAAAACCCGCCCTTCTCAAATCTGAGGTTATGTGGTGAGGCGGCGGCGCCCACAAAATCGCGTCCGTCCCACGCGACCGAAAAGTGGAAAAGGGGCGTCGTCGTGAATGTGCTAAGTCGCTGAATCGCTAGGGCATCGCTCATACCTCTCGTATTGCTAGCGACTCAATCAGCTGCCGACCTCCAAATTCTGACACCGGCCAAAGCGATACTATTGTTGAATAACGACGTTCCTCTTTATTCCATACTTAATGGCTTGCACAAGCGCCTACTGCGCAGCTAGTGGCACTTTTTTTTACCTGAATCTATTTCAAGTCACGTAGTATTCGATAAACGAATCAAATAAAAAACACGCCCATAAAAAGCGACAATAAATTGGGACTGATATGGGAAGGGGAAAAACTCAACACTGTTACGCGACATTTTGGGAGATCTATTTTTCATATTGTCTACTCCTCTCTTTTTTATATGCCGCGATAGATCGAAAAGGGAGTTTCACGATTTTGGAATATGTACATAAAGGCATAGGCTGGTGTCAGAGTCCGCGATTCGCTCTTTGCGATTTTCGCGAAACCTGCGATGGATCACAGGAGTTGGAAGTGCCCGATGAATACTGCGAGGTGTTGTTTAATCCTGCTGCGAATTCTGCTTGGCAGTAAAGATTGGAAGACGAATGTTTGTGGTTCTACTTGTTTCATGTTCAATGTCTATTAGTTCATTGAAATGCTCTTGAATCGTTCCTATTTTTTTCAGGAATCAAACCAAACCAATCACAAAAATTGCAAGTGCCCCATTTGAACAATTGAAACACTGGATATGAAACAAGTGGAATCATGAGCAGTCTCCATTAAACCATAACCATCAAGCAGAAGTGACGGCGGGATTGGAGAACACCTTGCAGTATGGATGGGGCACTTGTAATTTCCGTGACCCGTCGCGCAAATCGCGCAGCGCCGCGCAAAGGATCGCGGTCTCTGACATCAGCCATAGTGACGTTTTTGTGGTTGTGGCGATGGTTTGCGCAAAAGATTGAAAGAGCTCGCCACACCGTGACAGCTGGTGGCATTTTTATCTCATCACATAGTTTTCCTTTTTTCAGGTTTTTCGCACCGGACGTCCGCGTAGTTGGAATGACGCCGAGTGCAGTTTGAAATTGAATGGCTTCATTTGCAAGAGACCCAGGTGATATTGACCAGATAAATAAATACGTCATTGAGCAAGCATCTTATTTGGATCTTTTTTCTGGGATTGTATAAACGGTTTCAACTGGGGTCAAATGCTTTACCCCACATTTTAGGTCTTGTTTGAGGTGTAATATGTGAAGTGAGCCTGATCATTGTCCATACATAGATTCGAACTCACAGCAAGCGAGGAACCATGGATATAATTGTTATTGTGAAATGTTTGTGGTTCACAATCAGAGAGTTCGCAGCTGGCCAGTGCGGTTCGCATCGACAGTTTTTACACTTCAATTAATTCGAGAGTTTGTGAGGGTATATTTGTCACGGATTCTTAGGAAATTCAGTTTTCTCCCATTCTCATTTTGAGTCCCATCCATTAGGGGGGACATGTGATGCGACAGCTCGGTTGAGGGCCAGGTTTAAGATTAAAAAACAGCCCATTAGAATTAAGGAACAGGTGATCTATAGTGCCGCAATGAAGAAAAAACACGATGAACGGCCTGGAACACGAGAAATTCCCAGACATCTTCTTTGCTCCGCACTGATGCGACTCTCATCAGTGCTGCTCTCTTTAACGCTAACGCTATCTCAGCTGAACGGCTACAAACCAGCGGCGAGTGGTTAGCCAGTCGGTGGACGATAGCGCCGCGACCAAGGGCAATGCTGGATCGCCTGGAGCATGTACTTCGCTGCGAATTGTGTGTCAGTAAACGCCCTTAGGGAGTTCGCCTCTTTTCCCATTCTTTACCCTTCGACCGGTATCGTGGAATCCTCCTCTAGAGTTTGGCTTGGAGCTTAAATTCGCAGCGTTTTATTAGGTCGTGAAGAAAGTTCTTGCGCTTTTCGGTGTTTCGTTTTTGAACGCTTTATTTTGTTACGAATTCAAGCAAGCTGCCAATGAGCTGTATGTGGTTTTGAAGAGCTTTTCTTGTTCTATCTAACAGCTAGGCTAGCTATGTTCCTTATTATTTAGTTGTCATTTTTTGAAGCCTTGAATACGGCATACTCCAAGAGCAAATTTGCATGATTTCCTTTTTCTAGCTCAAAGCAGGCCAGTATGGAGAGGAAGCAGGTCAAGATATTAGACGCACTTGGCTGAGATTCGCAATAAATATGGTCTGAAGCAATTGTTCAAAAAGCTTTTGTAAGAATAGCGAGAGCCCTAAAGATTGTGAGGGTGGTGATCGGAGATTGGACAACGCCAACGATTAGTCGAACGTTCTGGTTGAAGCACGTTTGCACAAATCTATTGAGAGGGTTCCTCCTAAACTAATCGCACTTGTGTTTTCTTGTTTTTGTTGTACGGGAAGAGCTGGAAAGTCCAAAATTCAAATGGCGTGTCGCAACAGCTCACCATTTTGAAGGGTCGTTCGCCGCTTGTTCTAGCTTTGTTTCACGCCATGAAAACGACCTGACTTTTTGATCATTTGCGACGTACGACAAAGAACGGATTCTTTGCTACAGAATACGAACCTTTGTGAAGTGATCGACCGCGATCAGGCTCTACAAACTTTGCAAAAGTGAAACTTCACTGAAGGAAGGTTGAGGTGACTTTCATAAGGTCAGCGGCTGAGTCTAGCTTTTGTGACCAGGTGGATCTGTTAACGTGGAAAATGTACTCCTGACGATGTGTCAAACTACTCCTAGAACTCTGGCACATATGCTCGAAATTCCTCATTATAAAGGAACCGGCTCGTCCCTGACAGGTAGCTCGGACGCACATTCCACAACCAACCCTGCAGAAGTTGGACACAAGATTGGCTACGAATTAGTCCTGCGAACATCCTACTCGGTAGACCTTTTGCCTAATTTCTGTCACTTTCTCGACTACCTGTATAGCTTCTCCAAAGAGTTATGCTTCAAAAACCAACATGATGCGGAAACGATCTCCGCCGGGTTCATCGTCTCTAGAGCTCCAGTATTCTGCACTACCGGGCTGATTCAACGCAGCAATTATTGGCGAGGTTGCGGATTCTAACAGTCTTTACCCCAACTCGATAAAGGTTCTTCGAAAGAGCGAGGTACGAGCTGCATTTGAAATAAAGTCGACCGCGCAGAACTTTCTTCACGACCTAATATTTTCGAGCTACAATTCGGTTAATACAATATATCCTGGAAAACAACATATTCATGGAGAGTGCCTTCATCTGCTCAGCATACCGTGTTTTGTCGTTTTGCATCTGTATTGTAAATTACAAAGCTATGTGCTTGAAGTTGGAAAGTCACGGTGGTGGGAAACGATATAATAAAGAAAAAAATTGCCAGAAGAAGGACGATTGGTCAAAATCATTCATCACCAAAGCTCACTTCAGTCGATCTTTCGAATCACTAATTTCCTGTGAATAGAATCAAGTAAGTAATGACGAGAAGAACATCACTGATTAGTTCTATGCTTGGCTTTGCTTTTGGGTTTTGATTCAAACGTTTTTTTTTTCTGAATGCGAGCGCTACGATATTATGCTCCAACCAAATAATACACTTTACCGCACGAGAAGCAATCAAGTGGTTGTAAAGCGAAAGCATTATGATCGCACGACCGCAGCGGACTGTGTGTCCTCGAAAACTGAATTTCCATGAGGCGGAGCATTTGTCCACACATACTTCCCTTAAAGGACGAATTCACGATGAAAAAGCAACCCATTTCAAATTAACCTAGGGATGGTGAGTGGTACACGAAAGAAGGAAGAACCATGAGAAACGGCCCAGAACCCGAGAAATGGGACCCCTTCCTTGCCCGTTGATTCGAGCATTGATGCGACTCTCATCGCTGTGCCCTCTTCAACACTACGCTCTCTCAGCTATCTAATCACTCGCCACGTATTGAACTACGGCGAGTGATCAGATGATCGGTGGGCGGAGATCGCCGGACCGCCAGCTTTGAGGCATGATAGGTCGTCGATCAAGTTTTTCGAGTTTCAGTTGCCTCCATCTGGAGCAGTCCGTGAGGTCCTGCAACATAGCGTTAGGTTCCTTTTATTGGAACTTTCATTTATAATCGTGAATCTCCTCCTTTAATAAAAAGACCCCTTTGTCCTTTTAAAGACGATGACCACAGCATGAAACCGCCTAATGCTAGCATGAGGAACGAAGCTGTTGTTAAAAATGTGATCGTCTATGGAGGACAAGGAAATGCTTCACCTCCAAAACCACGGAGTACTCCTCCGGATGAGGATCAGCAATAAAACTGTTGAACTGCATCACCTGAGATGTACACCCAATTGATGCAGCTCACATGCCTTAGGATAAGTTTGCCATCGAAGCCTCACTACATCAGGTTGTCTTCAGCCTTCCAAATTACTTAACCTCTAGCAAACAGTTGGAAGTGGGGCACATGAGAGGATTAAATTATGGCCGCTGCATGACAATGCCGAAGAATGTAAATCGTGAGGATTTTTGGCCGATGCGTTCTCAGTTCTCTGTTTTCAGCGTATGGCAGCACTTCTTGAAATTTGTCCTACATCCGCATTCTTCCCAACCAGGGCTGCATGCACACTGTCGCCCTCTTGGGAATCCGGAACACGAATTCTGCGCTTGATGTGACAGCTCTCCAGAAAAGATTCAATGCTTAGCTATGGCTTCACAGAGATACACACAAGATCAACCGAACAGTCTTGGGAAGGACAGAGGAGTTCTAGGCAGTCGAGCCTACCGGCTCAGGGCTTGGTAGAAATAGAGAGAAAATGTTTCCGATCTAATTGTTTGCTAACCCATGACAGCACAAAAAGTGCGTGCTGCTGGATACATTCTTGCGTAGAAATTAAAATTTGTCGAATGGAAAGAACCTTCTCATGGAAGTAAAATTCCTTCCCTAACCCTGTAGCTGGTGTGGAATACACGACTTCAGATCAACCGGCCGGAAGCGCGACTCTGCATTGCATACAGCACCATTCAACACTGTCAAACCCTCTATCTATATCAAAAATTACTCTGCTTTGCCAATATTTGCTTTTGAGATCTGTGAATCTCAGCTTTTTACTCCACCTGATTATCTATAGAATTCAGCCGAAATAATAGCATTAAATTTTTGCACTATATTGATTATTATATCAATAATCAAATTTTTCGTATAACCCAATCAACATTATTAAAGTAAATGTTGCATACAGTAATTTTGACTTGTTTTTGTTTGTTAACTGCTGTTTTTTTGGCCGCAGTTCGCCTTGCGAATGTTTCACAAGAATGCTGGGTTGTGAACAAAACTTTCGCCCCAGGCGGGACTAGAACCCGCACCTCTCGCTTTCCGGGCAAGTGCGCTACCAGTTACGCTACCGGGGCACCATTTCATCCCAACTCAGCTTTTCATGGTATACGTACCATAGCTTCAGCACTCACAAGGTGAATGTGTTTGTTGAGCCGGTAGCCGATATCTGGAAATTGACTCGCCGAAGCTTAAAGCTTTTTAGCTCAACACACGTTGTACGTGTGAGTGCTGAAAGCTATGGTACGTATACCATGAAAAGCTGAGTTGGAATGAATGGTGCCCTGGTAGCGCACCTGCCCGGAAAGCGGGAGGTGCGGGTTCTAGTCCCGCCTGGGGCGAAAGTTTTGTTCACAACCCAGCATTCTTGTGAAACTTTTCAGAAAGTTGACAAGCAAGAAGCAGCACGATTACGAAAACATTTTTCTTCTAATACCCTGTCTGAAGCGGTCGATGGCTGAGCTCCTCCAACTCATAGTAGAAATTTCAAAAGAGAGGAGCTGGTTCTTGATGGGGTGTATGAACACTACGGACTGCAAAGCATGCTCTGCTACGTGCTCCAATACTGGCCACAAAGTTGGTTAAGAGTTTTGTGGAGAAGCGATCCATTCCTTGAAGACCACGTTTGACAACTGTTGGACAGGATACACTACAATAGCTCTCCTGAATGCACGCCACACGTGCTCCATAGGATTTTGTTGGGAGAAGCGGGCAGGCTTCACCAATCGCCGGAAATCCTCACTTTCCAAGAGTTTCTAGGCTGCTCGATGCTCTCGCACCTTGTCCTCCATACGATTGAAGTTGAGG